CCTGGTCACTGCAGCCTCTACCTGCTGGGCTCTGGCGATCCTTCTGCCTCAGCCTTCCAAGTAGCTGGAACCACAGGCGCACGCTACCACGCCCGCTAATTTTTTTGATTTATTGTAGAGATGAGGTCTCGCCAAGTTGCCCAGGCGGGCCTCGAACCCGCGGGCTCAGGCAATCCACTCACCTCAGCTTCCCAAAGGTGTGGGATTACAGGCTGAGCCACCGAGCCCGGCTGAGACCTCTTTTCTACCAACAAACAAGCACAAACAAAAATTAGCCAGGCATAGTGGCATGTACCTGCAGTTCCAGGTACTCCGGAGGCTGCAGTGACCAGGGCAACAGAGTGAGACCTCGACTCAAAAAAGTAAAATAAAGGTGTCAGTAGCTGTTAAGAGAAGACCCAATAGTGCTCAAATAATTATCGTGAAATAACCCATTGTACCACATAGAAGCCATTATATTCTTTTTTTTTTGAGTCGGAATCTCAACTCTGTCACCCACTCTGGAGTGCAGTGGCACACTCACAGCCATTGTAGCCTCCACCTGCTGGGATTAGGTGATCCTTCCACCTCAGTCTTCCAAGTAGCTGGAACTACAGGCGTGTACCCCCACACCCAGCTTTTTTTTCTTGATTTACTGTAGAGATGAGATTTTGTCAAGTTGCCCAGGCTGGCCTCAAATCCGTGGGCTCAGGCAATCCTTTCACCTCTGTCACCCAAAGTGCTGGGATTACAGACCTGAATCACCATGTCCAGCTTATTATATTCTTAATTGCTAGTGAATGGGCAACATTGCTGTTTCTTTAACATATTTTTTGTTATATATGCAAGTGCCTTTTGAAACTTTTAAAAACAATAAGGACCTGCTACTTAAATTAGAAAAGAAAAAACAGCTGGAAATATGCCTTTTCTTGGCTCTTTCTCAAACTCTCCTTTTTAGTTCTTCCAGGGGCAATTTGAAAATTTAATTGTTCTACTCTTTCTACTAGAAGAGTAAAATCATAGTTATCATTCTACTTGAAGACTTGTACTAACTTCCCCTGCCTACCAAATAAAGTGGCCCTTCATGATCCTTTCTAGTTTATTTCCTATCACTTGCCTTACACCTTGTCTGTTCAAATTTAATTGGTTTTATAGCATGCTGAACTTTTGTCTCCTTGCCTTTTTTCACATTCCTCTTTCCCACATCTATGTAACCAAATCCTGTCAGCCCAAATGTTTAGCTAATTCTACTTCTTTGATTATAGTTATGTCTACATGTGTAATAGCCTCAGGAAGTTACCTGAGGACAGGGTCTGTATTGTACACTATTTATTTATTTATTTATTTTTTATTTGTTATTTTTTATTTTGAGTCAGAGTCTCACTCTGTCACCCAGACTGGAGTGCAGTGGCTGCTCCCAGCCCCCGCAGCCTCGACCTGCTGGGCTCCTGCGATCCTTCCGCCTCAGCCTTCAAAGTAGCTGAAACTACATGCGCGCGCTATCACACCCGGCTAATTTTTTATTTTTTTTTTATTGTAGAGATGAGGTCTCACCAAGTTGCCCAGGCGGGTCTCGAACCCGCGGGCTCAGGCAATCCACTCACCTCAGCCTCCCAAAGTGCGGGATTACAGGCTGAGCCACCGAACCCGGCTTAATTGTACACTTTTTAATATACCATTTATTTTTGGCACAATGCCATATTAATTAGCGAATTAATAAATTTTTAAGAGATGGTCTTGTGTTTTTGTCCATGCTGGAGTGCAGTGGTGCAATCATAGCTCACTGCAGCCTTGAACTGCTGGGCTCAAACATAGCCTCCTGTCTCGGCCTCCCAAGTAGCTAGGACTACATACAACAGGCATGCGTCACCACACCCAGCTAGTTTTTAAAAACTTTTTTTTTTTTTTGAGTTGGAGTCTGACTTTGTCACCCAGACTGGGGTGCAGTGGCCGCTCCCGGCCACTGCAGCCTCTACCCGCTGGGCTCCCT